CAAATTGGTTCCTGAGTCCTTTTGATATGACCTTAATGACCTGTGTTTGCTTCCCTGCTTCCTGATGTGAGATATTTCAGGCTAATCTTGTACATTGCCTGCTCCAGACCCAAGATTATCTATTTTTATATGGAGTTCATGTTTCTTTTAATGGGAAATGATTTGTAGAAATCACAGTCTGGGGCCCAAGGGGTGCTTCTTGCTAATGGATAGGTTGTTCCTAGGCCTTTTCAATGGAGTATGTAGGAGAGAGTTTTTTGTTTGTTTTTTTGAGGGGGGTTGTTGGGGGGTGGCTGGTTGGTACAGGGATTGAACCCTGGGCCTTGGTGTTATCAGCACCACCTTCTAACCAACTGAGCTAACCAGACAGTCCTGTTTTTAAAGATAAAATATATTGCTAATTCATATTGAGACCTCCAATTGAAATTCAGAAACTACAGTGTGTTTACATAACCTCTTCAGGCTTTCATCTGTATCACATGTCAAAAATTTCAGCTTCAAAGATACCATCTTAATTACTGCTATTTGGTTTATCCCACAATACCAACATTGCCGCCAACAGTTTGGTTACTGAAAACAGCCTATGGTATTTTTGTAATTCTTTTAGTCCTAGGGTACATCCCACTAAGGAAGTATAAATTATGTTTCAAAATATGTTGGGATAGTTCCTCTGTGTGATATGCCACAACTGGATAGCATTTAGATTCATTTAGTTTCATTTTACTTGCAATTTTCAAGGATTGCTTTTTTAAAATTTAATTTTTATAATTTAACATATTTACATGGTTCTAATGTCAAGTCTGTATAAAGTATATTTCAGAGAAGTAATATTCATTTTTGTCCCCTATGTAATCCCTCCTTTCCCCTATAATCCTTTTAAGTGCTATTCTTCAATTTGTAAAAATAAGTAAATATATGTATGTGTATGTATATGTACATATACACTTCTAAGATAAATGATAGCATAGTACACATCATTTTTCTACTCAATAATATATCCTGTAGTGTATAGAAAAACATGTCTCAATTCTTATTTACACCTGCCTGGTTCTACATTGTGTGGATAAACCATAGTTGATCAGTTTCCTATTTGTAAATACTTCAGTTTATTTTAATGTCAACTTGAAGAAAGCTTAAATTAAAATTTTAAAATTGATATTTTGGGAAGAAATCTTATGTTGACAATGGCCATTGCAGTAAAATAGAAATCAATCTCATGTTCTTAAAGTTCCATCATATCTGTTTCCTGTAAGTCTGAATGACCGCTCAATATGTAGCCATTTAAAATAGCTTCATGTAGATGTCATACTAATTTGATTGGTTTGTATATCCTTGCAATCAGACTAACCTATTTTAGAAAACTACCTCATGTATTATATTTATTTTATATATATATATCTTTAATTGCACATCACCTGGTGCAAAACCAACTTGTTTAAAAATTTATTTTAAATGACTACAATTCATATAAGTGGAAATGGAGGAAAGCTACATTTCTTGTTAGTCAAAAAATAAGATGATGGCAAGTAGGCTGAGAAAGCATTTTTTAAAATTACTATCCTCATTGATATGGATGGAAGGGCTGGCTGGTTAGCTTTGTTGGTTATAACATAGTGCTGGTAACACCAAGATCCAGGTTTTGGTACTGGCCAGTTGCCAAAACAGATCAAACAAACAAAAAAAAAAAACTTTGAGCAGTGTATCTTATTGGTATGGAATGCGCGAAGTCTAAAATAATAGAGTGGTAACACCAAGATCCAGGTTTTGGTACTGGCCAGTTGCCAAAACAGATCAAACAAACAAACAAAAAAAACTTTGAGCAGTGTATCTTATTGGTATGGAATGCGCGAAGTCTAAAATAATAGAGCAGTAATTCCTTTAGAGGCAAAGTTTTTTTACATAAAGAATGATTTAATACTGTAAAGTGTTTTAGAATTAATGCCTGGCACATGTAGAACAGTTTTTGCTGTTATTATTTGGAAAAACGAAACACAGTATTCCTAATTGAGCAAGTCACTAATGGAACTTGCAGCAATTCTTGTAACACCATCTTTAAAAAATTACTTTAAAAGTATGTAAATCTTTGGAAACAAACTGTTGAATTTCCTTATGGTTATATAACTTAATACTGGTGATTGTATGTGTCTTAGCATGTTTATTTGGAGTGCATTAACATTTATCAGATCAAGTTGAATCAGTGTTTAAGATCAAATGCTGTGCTAGAACTGTATGCTAGAACTGAGGGTGCTGAGAGTAGAAGACAATAGAAGATGTGCATTCAAAAAATTATGATAAAATAAATAAGCAATTATAATTCAAATAACTATAGCAAAACCGTAAAAATTAAACTCCACAGAGTAGCATTTGAATTCGGTGAGTTTACAAACAGGTTAAAGTATACTACTGTAAAATGTGTGTGGATTCCAAAGTATCCTCACCACCAGAAAGTGTCTCGTCCACTACGTTCAGTCCGCAAATTTGTAAGTTAGGGCAGCAACTTCTGCCTGAAATAAAAGAGTAAAAATCCGCCTCTTATGTGTTAGGAGACTCCAAAGGTCCGTTTGCTCGCTGCTCAGTAGTCAATAATGGACAGCCAAGAGTTGGTGTAAGGATGGCCTGTAGTCAGGAAGCCGGCAGCATGAGAGAATAGCAGACTGACGTCTCAAAGACCATCTCCTCTTCTCCCAGGTTTGCCAAAGGGCTTCACAGGGGTCTCTGGTGGAATCTGATTCATGGTGACCAAGTGGGGACTGCAGACATGCTTGAATGTTTCAGATAATCATGAAGGAAATTCCCGCTTTGTGGGAGTCGAGCAGCGTCATACTTCATTCTCCACGGGTTCAGTTCCTGTTATTTTCAAGTAAGGTCAGGTTAGTAAGCTAGCAAAAAATGGTCATCTGGGTTAACAATTTTTCTCTATTTTGTGTATAATGTGAGAGCGAGACTCATTGTGTTCTGGTTACAGGACGGAATAAGTTTTTAAACTCAAAGGTTGAACAAAGTGGAGTCACTTCTGTTCAGGCTGTTACACATGCAACGCATACGAGAGAACTGTCAGGTTTTCTATCCATCCTGCCCTAGTGTCCTTTCGGCGCCTTAAAGCTCTCTCCCAAGGTGGAGAGGGTTGCTGAGATTGAGACGGCGAGTCCAGCTTCTGTAAACGCGGCTTGTCTCTCCAGCTCTGCTTAGGTGGCCGGGCCAGAGGCTGTCACACTAACCTTAGCGGGAGAGCGCAAAGAAAAGCGGACGATGTCCTCCCAGATCCCTCCTGCAGCCCCGCGGGGTTGAGACCGCTCCCCGGCGGGTCGGGCCCTACGCTCTGAGCCCCGAGCCCCTGCCCTGCCGGTGTCGCCCCGGGTCCCGCCTCTGCGGGGCTCGGGCCCGCCCCC